TTATAGTTAGTTTGGCGATATATGATTTACTATCTATATGTACACATATGCTGTATTGACTCAAAAATAAGTCACTAGTTGTTAGGGAAGTGTGTACTAATGGAAATGAATGCAACCTTGAATGAAACAGAAGTTCCTGTACTGCGGTCCGCGCCGCCCGGCCACGCTACATAGCCAATGAGGGGGAAAGGACCACGGAGGAGGTGAGGGGGAAAGGACCACTAAGCAGGTGAGGGGGGAGAAGATGGAAAGGACCACTGAGGAGGTGAGGGGGAAAGGACCACTGATGAGGTGGGGGAGAAAGGGAAAAGGACCATTAAGGAGGTGGGGGGGAGAAGGGGAAAAGGACCACTGAGGAGGTGGAGGGGAGAAGGGAAAAAGGACCACTGAGGAGGTGGGGGGAGAAAAATCAGCAAATTCTGTCTGTAATGCAAAATGTGACTGTAACTCATGGGGTAATCTGAAGCTTTGCATTGCATTTTGATACCAGTAGCTGCTGCATTTCCCACCCTAGGCTTATACTCGAGTCAATAAGTTTTCTGAGGTACAATTAGGTGGGTCGGCTTATACTAGAGTACATACACACACACACACACACACACATATAAATATACATATACACGCAGTGTGCTTATCCACACATCAACATTGTACTTTACCCTACAATCCCTTAACTCATCTCACCATGTACAGTTCATTTCATCTTCTACTCAAAACAACCACCTAATTACCATGGCTTTAAATAATGCACAGACAAAAAAAAAAAAAAAATGGTTAACATTTCCAAATTAAAGCGACACTATCAGGCACCTTACCTTTCTTTAATTGCTTCCTCTTCTCTACCTCTCTGTTCTCCGTTTCTTCCTGTCTGCTCTAGTTTTCTTTAAAACATAAGACAAAGTAGAGACTACTTTGTCGTAGAGACTACTTTGTCTTATGTATTTTTCCTATGCCTGACCAGCTACGACCAGTGGAGGAGCAAAGTGTGCTCCATTTCCTGTGGTCAGAGAAATTCTACAGAATTTCGTCCTAAAAGAATGGGAACAGTTTTTTCAATTATGTTAAGACGTCATTCGGTACTTTTAGGTCGAATCAAAATGTAATTTTAATGAATGAAATTCCGATCTGATTCGTGCCGCGGCTGCATTTTGCAGCCGCTTAGTAGATAGCTCCCTAATACCGGGGGAATTAGGGAGCTATCTACCAAAAGGCTGAAAGACCTAAATTGGTCTTTCAGCCAATTTCACTAATACTAAGTAAAGATTACTTTGTATTAGGGATAAATCTGCCCCTACTCGCTATGCCGTGAGTAGTGAGTAGAGGCATGTCTACTAAATAGTGAGCAGTCAATAGCTGCTCACAGTTGTAAAAATAAATAAATATATATATATAAAGAACCCCTCCCCCCCAAATAAATGGCCCCATGGTGGGGCATCTATTAGCTAGCAGGTGGGGGGAACCCGTGCCTCATGAGTGGGTGCTATTCAAATAAATGGGGACATAGGGTCCCCCCGGCACCCACCCATGAGCAGTGGATGCGGGCCCTAAATGAAAATCTGAGGGGGGGGCGGGACCTATTGTCCTTCCCCTTCCCCCACCCATGAGCGGCGGGTAGGGGCCCTAAATGAAAAAAAATTTGGGCTGATTTTTTTCAACTCGCATTATGGATTTTTATTTGCCCCTTTTTTGGGGCTGAAAAAAGAAGACAACAAATGGTAAGTATTTTCCATTTACAGGTATTTAGTTTTATTGTCTCCCCCCTCTCTATTTTTAGGGTGAGGTGGGTGGGTAGGGCTTATTTAATTTTTTGGGTGGTGGGGTGACTAGGTGCTTGGGGACCCCTAGTCACCCCTGGGAGGGGGTATTTTTACATTTAGCCCCCCACCCATTGCCCATGAGTGGAGATAGAAAATATATATATATATATATATATATATATATATATATATATATATATATATATATACACGTCCCAGGTCCCAGCACTCAATGCTCCCGGTCTTTTAATGTTCCGGTGCTGTCTCCAACCAAATTGTATACAATACCAGTAGAGAGCACTCAGGAGTCTTTCAAGGTAAATTTCATCTGTTGCTTTATTGAGCAATTACAAATTCACACAACGTTCCAGTCGACGTTTCAGTCTGTAAAAGACCTTTTTCAAGAAAAAAAAAAAGTCTTGAAAAAAGTCTTTTACAGACTGAAACGTCGACTGGATGTTGTGTGAATTTGTAATTGCTCAATAAAGCAACAGATGAAATTTACCTTGAAAGACTCCTGAGTGCTATCTACTGGTATTGTATACAATTTGGTTGGAGACAGCACCGGAGCATTAAAAGACCTGGAGCATTGAGTGCTGGGACCTGGGAGATTATATATATATATATATATACACCCATGGAGTGAGGGAGGACATGGGGGGGTCTTAGGAAGTGGTGGGGTGGGGTGCTGCTTCCATTTTTACAAGGAGGGAGCTGCGCACAGGTAGCTCTCTCCTTGTAATTAAACTGAACAAACAAACACTGATATTCTGTGTTTGTTTGTTCATCTGAAATTTCTATTCATTCCTTTGTCTTTCTGACGAATGAATGGACGAAATTCCCGTAGAGAATGCTCAAGTGTTTAACTGGGCATGCGCGGGAATGTCACAGCTCTATCTAGCATGGGCAGATGACGTGTCCAACAGGGACTTTATCTACCAACACAAAGATGGCGGCACCCAGGACCTAGGTCTGGGCACAAAATAAAGATTAAAAAATAGGTAATATAGTGGGCTTAGGGGCATTTTGGAGTAATTAAGGGGACAATTAGATGTACTGGAGTCGAGGTGGGGGGGGACTCAGCCAGGACAGCGCTGCTTTAAGAGTATCTGTGTCACGCTCAGAAGACCAGAAAAATCTATACACTCAATTTCCACTTAAAAGACACAACCAAAGGGGACTAATACAGAAATATTCATCTTACCATTGCCCCGCTTTAAATGAAAATTCACTGTTGGCAACAGCAAGTCGTACCCTCTTCACAGTCGCAGATTCATCAGTGATCCCACAGACATTTGCAGGAGAAATAATCTGAAATGAACAGTATGCAAGTTGAAACAAAACTATAGATGACATACAGTCACTACTAGTACGTGGTTACTAGTTGTTAAATGCATGACATACAAATGTTTGCATTGTAAGAGGTGGTGTATGTGTAAAATGGCTGAAAAATGGAGATGTGCAGCATCTACAAAAGTCTTACAATTCCAACAATGCTATACCAGATAGGGAGCTACCACTTGCCCATCCTTGCAGGGTTGTTTTTGTGAGCAGTGTTTGCGCATTTAAATGTAAGCATGCTTCTGGATTGCGTATGTATGTGCATTTAGGGGTCTATTTGTATGTACTGTATCCTTTGAAATACAGTGATGTACTTGTGAAGTGTTTTTCATTTAAATAAATGGATGTGCGTTATTTCTTTAGATGTCCCCAGAAAGTGAAATTAATGCTCAAATAGATTCAGTTTGTGACTCAAAGAATGTTTTCTTAAATTAATTTTGTTAAGAATGTATGTGACAGTAATGAGATTTAGAATATGATGTTATGTAACTAAAATGTTGTAAATAAACGTCAGAGTTCATCTAGAATAGACAAGTGAGCCATCTCCAGTGGCAACCATAGATAAGTAAACCATGACTATAACCTCCACTACATTTCAAGTATTAGGTGATATGCTTTAGAGTTTAGATCATGAACAGTTCTTGTCATTTACAGATGTGTTCTCCAACCAGAACTTAAGCTGGCTGTTCTGATCTGACCACTGGCACCATAAGCACTACAGTTCAATGTACTAGCTTTGATGCTAAGATTATACAGTACCACACAGTGGATTTTATTGCCTCATGGTTGCTTAGAATTAACTCCAAATAAAAATGTCACACCCAGTTTTATTTACGTATGAAACAATGATGCAATGGCACGCACCTGGCCAAAAAAAAAAAGTTCAGCAGCCAAATATCCAATTACTTTTGGATAAATCAATATACAGTATTCAGAGCAGAATGCTTCAATCCTCCATTTAAACGTGTTGAATGGATACATTGTCAGTGTCTGTAGAGCTGCGTGCCATGAAATTAAAGTCATATAGATTAATAGATCAAAAAAATGCCACAGACACACCTTTTAATAGCTGCAATTTCAAAAATACTATATATTTATTAAATACGCAGTTCCAAATAGACATGCAGTTAGCTAAACACTGCCGCATGTTTAACCGACCTGCCATTTCAGTCGGTCATCGATAGTATTTTTATGTTTTGCAGAATTGAATTATGACACATACCTCTAAAATAATACATAATCTACAAATGCAAGATAATTATTTAAACCAGCTTTCCGTGTAGGAATGTGTGGGTGGCAAGGTCTCCTTTAGGTAAGTAATACAATTTAATATATACATTCTGCTGTGTAGATTAAGTCTGACCTCTGCATGTACCTCTTGAGTAATGAAAAAAAGATCTTCAACATCTGTGTGGATTGTTCAGACAACTCAAGTTTCAGGTACTGGTCTGGTAGCACCCCTAAGCTCTGGCAGTAAAAATCAAAAAAAGATGTCCTACCATGCCATGCATCAGATATGGAATAGCACCCAAATGGCAAAAAGTTTTTCTACAATGACACCTTACATGGGCAAAACTAAAAAAACTGTCATCATCTCATAAAGGATCACGTAGCTGCCCCCACTGCCAGCTGCCATCCCCGAGAGCCTGTACAAGGCTACCTGTAGGAAAACTATGAGACGTTTGTTGCCTTTTAATAAATCTAAATATACAGATATACAAAAGAAAAACATTACATACATAATGTTCAATGGTATATTAGCAATTTAAAAGGGATACTATAGTATAGGAATACAAAGCTGTATTCCTAGAACTATAGTTCCCTTGCACCCCCATCCCTCTCAGACATAGTAAGGGTTGAAATATCTTTACTGTACTTACCTGATTCCAGCGCCGATGTTCCTCAGCACTGGGTCGGCACTCCGCTCCCTCCTTCTGGGAGAATGCTAATGCTGCAATGTTTCCTATGGGGAATTGACTGATGCTGGATGTCCTCATGCAGGGCGTTAGGACGTCCAGTGTTAGTGAGGCGACCAAAAGTCACGTAACGACCCGGACGTGCCTCTGGTGGATGTCTGATTGACAGCTAGTAGAGGCAGTCTTCATCCTGCAAGGTAATTATTGCAGTTTTTCAGAAACTGCAATAATTACCACTGCGGGGTTAAGGGGACAGGGACAGTACACCAAGACCACTTCAATGAGCTGCAGTGGTCTAAGATCCTATAGTGTCCCTTTAAACATGATGAAACATAAATAAACAAACATAACTTCTAAAAACTACTATGGTATTCATGTATTATTGGCTTTGCGTAAAAATCAGAAAAGCATTCTAGATAATTGTGATGTGGGCTGTAGTGAAAAATAAACCAATCTATGATGTGCAAAGTAGTTTATTTGAGCCTGAGCCGACAGATGCAGGTATAATTACAAGATGCCGGCCAGCATCGAGACCTTTTCATATGAAAAATATGCACGCACACAAAAACACCTTGTACCTTTTATACTGGGGAAAGGAGGTGAAGATTGCAGTACAGTTTTCACACTGAACACGAGAACAATCAGCTACCTGTGCTAGCACAATACATGATTTCATAAATCCCTGTATTTGCATTTTTATTGCATACAGTGTCTATGTATAGGAATAAGTATATTTCGATGTATAATTTCATAGTAAATTCTACTGCATGTCACAGGCACCATAAAAACCTGATCAGAATTAAGTGGTTATGGTGTGAGGAGGTCCCAGATGCTGGCTTTCTTCAAGGGGTTAGATCATAACCGAATGGTTCAACCCCAAAGTCTTCAATGCAGTGCCCAAACAGGAAGCATTGGCCTGGACTCCACTGATTCACGAAAACGGAGCAAAGAAATAATGTGGTACTCAGTCCAAAGCTTCCGGATTGAAGCCATGGCTGAAAAGAAAGTGAAGGGTTGATAGGGCAGAGCTGACAGCGCTGGATTGAAGACTTTAGGGTTAAAGCGTTTGTTAACAATTTAACACCAATTTAGGTAAACTGGTGCCTGGGACTTCCTCACACTATAACAACTTAAAGGGACAATATAGGCACCCAGACCAATTCAGCTCATTTGTATTGATAAACAGCAATAATTATATTACAGGGTTAACTCCACCTCTAGTGGCTGTCTACCACTTCTGTGTGGTTAGGTGACTTTTGGTCGACTGACACTGGATGTACTCACGCTCTCCATGAGGACATCCAGCGTCATCTAAAACCCCACAGGAAAGTATAGAGCTATGCTTTCCTCTGGGGTAGTCCTAATGCATGAGTTGCTCTTGCCGCGCATGCGCATTAGGTCCTCACCGCCAGCTGATGTCGGTGGAAGAAGAGCGGAGATGGAGCCTGACCATGTGCTAAGGGGCATCGGCACTGGAATTAGGTAAGTGACAAAAGGGTTTTTAACACTTCCAGCACCACAGGGTTGGGGGCCGGTAAGGGAGGGGGGCATTGTAGGTCACTATAGCGCTAGGGAAAACAACTTTGTTTTCCTTTCACTATAGTTTCCGAAGATGATGTTACAGTGTCTGGAGTGTGCCTTTAAAGCCAGAAATCTAATAATAGAACAAAGAACTATATGTTTCTGGATTTAAAGTAATACAATGCACAAAACTACTCCAGATTCTTGGTGATTTCTAATTTTCCAATTGTAGGTTTTTGTTGCTTAAGGTTTGACGCATCATTGTAAAAACCAAGGATGGATTCAAATAAATAAATAAAATTATATTCCTCCTGGCTATCACCTACAATGTTTTGCTACTGCTATTTATGCACCCCCATAGTTAGCAGTTTACCTTAACAATTGATCAATGATCTGGGAAGGGAAAAGACAATTACAGAGATGAGAAACCCAAACAAATATGCTTTCTTAGACATATCAAGCAATTTGCTAATCCACTTTATTTACACAGAATTGTGAATGAACGCTTCTATTCGTTCCAGACACTGTGGCTCACTCTTTGCCAGAATTACTCTGTTTCTCAAACAAAACAAAAATGAAATGACTTTTACATACAAACACAATAAGAAAAGAGAGAATGTTAAAAAAAAAAAAAAAAAAAATTCATAGAGAAACACTAATCTGCAACAGAGATTAAAAGGAAAAAAGGCAGACAGACACACAGAACTTACTTCTTGTCTAAATTTATTTGCCGTTCTCTCCAAGTGATCTGTTTTCCTCTTTGAAGTCATTTTCCTTCTAGTTCAAATAAATCCAGATTTCAGGGTTATAAAGTAGCATTGGGTCTTCAGTGAGCAGACAGATGATGAATTCATATTTTTTTTGTCAAGGTAACAATAGAGAAATTATACGGTATGGTTGCAAGAGGCTCTCCAGTGCAAACCCACCAGACACAAGCTGTTTTTAACAGCACAGCCAGAATTAATGGGGCTAGCGGTTTTGCACTGAATAACATGCATTAGTATAACTTACGAAAGGCCTCTGTCCTGTAACAACAGCAACAAAGATCTACTGTTTGAGAGTTTGATGAGAGCATCTCTTTCCTAAAACAACAGAACTGCCATCACATCACTTTGCAAACAATATTTAATAGTGCCTGCAGACAGATCACCCACCTATTCAGGGAACAGGCATACAAAGCACGGGCCCTCGACAGCAGTGATGTCGACTGACTAGTGAAAATTCCAGTAGTCCCTCTGAGCACTTGGTAAGCAGCAGACACAGCAGCAAGTGCCATGGTTAAGGTACTAGCCAGAGGTCCTCCCTGCAGAGAGAGTAAAAAGCAGATTGATCAAAATGGTAACTTGATGTGCTTAAACAATTAAAATCATTCGATCAGTACATCCATCAGCATCATTCAGCCAATATAGAATGGAAAGACTTTTTTTTAACCCTTCACACAGGTGATAGTTGAGAGACATTTAGGCGGATATCGCCGTTAAAGCCTTAGCTAAGCTTTCGTCTCTCAATAAACCGCTCATGCTTTTAAAATACTCTAGTACAGGGGTAGGCAACCTACGGCACTAGTGCCATGCACGGCACTCAAGGTGTCTTTGCACGGCACTCAAGGCTGCTACAGCCAAACAGGCTCTGGCCTATCAGGAGTCCCAGTGAATCTTCAGATAGCTGCTAATATAAAAAGGTGGTGAAGGACAATCTTCAATTTATGCATTGCAGCACATAGAGTAAGTGATCTCAGATCACTTCCTCCCAGCACTTGTGAATGGGAATCCACAATATGGTAGGGCAGCCTGTAGCTGCTGTTGCAGCTCCTGTCCTTGACCTGTACCTGGCCAGCCTGGTCCCCATTGGAACCCAGGGAAGCCACCCACACTGCTAGATTTACACATAAATGCATAATAACCCTCCACTCATACAAATAATACAAACAGCCCACAAGCAAACATACATACAATCCGCACAAACATAACCTGCTAACAATCCACATACATGCACACAACCCCACATGCAGCCTCTCACATGCAATACCCCAAACAGCCCCCGCACATATTCACACTACCAAACACAAAATGTGACATTTCCATCCACACACACACACACACACACACAATTCCACAAGCAGCCCCCATACACCGCCCACATTTATATGTATCATACACGATACCACAAACTACTCATGAACATATACAATATAATAGCTCATATATGCACAAATACAACGATACAAAGCAATTACAGTATAAATAACAGAAGCAGAATACAACAGCATACACACCTCAATTTAAAAAAATAGGACCGGCACGCTACGGGACATCACAATCCTATATCGGCACAGTGATGCTAAAAGGTTGCCTACCCCTGCTCTAGTATAATAAAGTGGTTATACTAGTCACTACCCACCAAGGAGGTGGGTGAAACAAGATTATACTTTTTTTCCTTAAAATTGCAATAAGATATTTTCCTATGTTTATTCAATTGTGTTTTGTTAGCTTTTTCTTATATTTTATATCTTGACTGATTTATTTTCAATACCTTTATTACATTTTGATTCCAACAAGAACAAGTACCGGTATAAAAATCATAATTAAAAAGAAAACAAAAAACAAAACAATTTTTAGTCGGTGGAAAGAACCAAAATATAAAGAATGTATATAAATATACACAGACAGAGATATTATAAGTATATATTTGTTTTACCAAAATGTTAAAGTGATAGGAGTCTGTTTGCAAAAATAGGAGGAGGTGTGTCTCTCCATATGGCAACATTTCTTATCCTACACGCCATGATGTGGCTATCAAACCTATTTTGAAAAGCTCTATACTACACTGTCAGTGAAATAAATGTTTGGCTGACAATGTACAACACATGGTTCCTCTGATTTATGGAAAGTAACTTCTTCATCACAAATCATCTGCTATTGTTTATTGACTTCCACATTTGGCAAGGTTTTTCATTATTCTCAGATTATTTTTACGCGGATGGCGAACCAGCTGGCAGATGAATCTGTCAAACCTACCAATGTGTTTGCAAGAAAAAAAAAAACAACGTATTTTTTTTGTTCCCAGTAACCAATGAAAAATAGGCCTCATTCATTCCATCAAGCTAAGTCAGTGATTTGATGATACAGTGAGGGAAAAAAAATATTTAATCCCCTCCTGATTTTGAACGTTTGCCCACTGACAAAGAAATGATCAGTCTATAATTTTAATGGTAGGTGTATTTTAACAGTTAGAGACAGAATAACAAAAAAAAGAAAACAAAAATCCAGAAAAACGCATGTCAAAAAAGTTACAACTTGATTTGCATGTCAATGAGTGAATTAAGTATTTGACCCAATTCGATTTAGTACTTGGTGGCAAAACCCTTGTTGGTAATCAAAGAGGTCAGACGTTTCATGTAGGTTTGTCCCACTCCTCTTTGCAGATCCTCTCCAAGTCGTTAAGGTTTCAAGGAGGACGTTTGGCAACTCTAACCTTCAGTTCCCTACACAGATTTTCTATTGGATTAAGATCTGGAGACTGGTTAGGCTACTCCAGGATCTTAATGTGCTTCTTCTTGAGCCACTCCTTTGTTGCATTGGCTGTGTGTTTTGGTTCATTGTCATGCTGGAATATCCATCCACGACTTATTTTCAATGCTCTGGCTGAGGGAAGGAGGTGCTCACCCAAGCTTTGATGGTACATGGCCCCGTCCATCGTCCCTTTGATGCGGTGCATTTGTCCTGTCCCCTTAGCAGAAAAACAACCCCAAAGCATAATGTTTCCATCTCCATGTTTGACGGTGGGGATGGTGTTCAAAGGCAGCATTCCTACGCCTCCAAACACGGTGAGTTGATTTGATGCCAAAGAGCTCGATTTTGGTCTCATCTGACCACAACACTTTCACCCAGTTCTCCTCTGAATCATTCAGATGTTCACTGGCATCGTCTGACGTGCCTGTACATGTGCTTTGAGCAAGGGGATCTTGCGGGCGCTGCAGGATTTCAGTCCTTCACAGCCCAGTGTGTTACCAATTGTTTATTTGGTGAATATGGTCCCAGCTGTCCCAACAATTATATATAATTTCTGATTCATGTATCGGTTTTCCTACATCATTATGCATTAGACCGATACGACATATGACAATTTTTCAGCTTCACCAGATTTTCTTCCTACTTATATCATAGTAGGCAATCAGTCTGATATCAAGCTGACACAATTCTCTCAATAGACTTAAATTATCTTAATTTTTACTTAGTTTGACTGTATATCACTACAAGCATTCATTTTTTTCTGCATAAGATATATGAACTTGTGCACAAGCATATCGTTTTTATAAATTTCATATTTCACTGTTTAGTAGACCTCGGTCTACTTCAGATTTTTTACATTTTTGTGGCAATTTTTACTAGCCAATCCTATTCCATTTCCACTGTATTCCTGTTTTTACTACTGACTTGTGTCATTAGTTACGTTTACTTGTATTCTGCACTTGATCTGCCTGCTTCTGCTGACATCAGCAAAAGTATTGTTCTGAGCCAATTACGATGATTTCCCATAGGAATGGAATTAATGCATCTCTATGAGGAATGTTAAGTGTCTGCATGAAGGGGATGGAGACACTGAATGCTCACTGTGCAGCACTGCCCCAGGAAGCACCTCTAGTAGTCATCTGAGGAGTGGCCAGTGGAGGTATAATTAAAATAAAACAAAAACAAACAAACACAAACAAAAACGCAGAATAGGCACCCACTATAATAAGATAATGGCCAGCAGTGAACCAGCAGGGATTCCCCAACCCTGCCTGAGTAGTAACAAGTAAACAAAGAAAGTGTGGTAAACCCACTCCCATACTCATTGAGAATGACAGTGATTGAGATGCAACCGCAAGAGAAACTACATCTCCCATGATGCTACAGGCAGGGTCGCATGACATCATTTACGGGCAACACACACAAACCCGGAAGGATCAAGCAGCACACTGGATTCTACTTATCTAACATACACTGCCTATATAAACTGGGACATTTTAAGATGCAGCCACACTTCTGAAGAAGCCTATTCCTGGGTGAAACACGTAAAGTGACTTTGGATACTTGTTTCATTTTGGTTTTATACAAATAAAGCTTATATTTTAATGTAACTTTAGTTTGAGTATATATTTTATTCCACTCTTCATCTACATCCTGCCGCTTCAGATCCAAACCCTTCATATCCCAGGTGGGGATTATATCACCAGAGCAAGTCATTGCACTGGATATTGTAAGTAGAATACGGTCTTCTTTTACTTATATTTAAATATATGATATATTATACCATTGGGTTATTTTTCTGTTATATCTCCTCTACATGACTAATGAACACTGAGAGGCTACTGCACTGAGAATCAACATATCCCTAGACGGGGATTATACCGTCAAGGCGTTTACCAGCAGAGCTCTCAGTAGCTCTCTAAAGTGTGAGTTGACACTTTGTAAAACTTCATTTCACTTTTTACACAATTGGTATTTCTCTCTCTTTGAGGTCCCCCAAAGATCATAAATAAAAAAAAAAACCTCTAAAAAATTTATGTATATATTTGTAAATTAGCATAATAATTGAACACAATATTGTAGTTGAAGTAATTCACCTTATTTGACGCGGTTTACCACACTTTCTTTGTTCACCAGTGGCGGTATCCCTAGGCTGTAATGTAAACACTGAATTTTCTCTGAAAAGACAGTGGTGACTGTGAAAAGCCTGAAGGGAATGATTCTACGGACCAGAACAAATTCAATAAGCTGTAGTTGTTCTGGTGACTATAGTGTCTCTTTAAAGGTAAAAAGATGAATTGCCAAACTACTTTTTTTAATCACAGATGTACAAAAACAAACATTCATGCATACATACATCACATGTCTATTTGGGAACAACAGCATAAATTCTACACAAGCTCTGCAAGTATATGTATTTTTTAAAGGTGTTTCAAATTAAAATGGCAATTTGTAAACCCAAATCTAAAACACAAGGATGTTTTTACAATATGATTTCAACACAAAGAGTTAAGTCTTGCATGACCATTACAGGCTGCTCTGCAGTGGAATTCAGGATCATCGGAGCTCTAGAAGGGTTATTACATTCTATTATTTGCCTGATTAGCAACCATTTGCTATGCAACAGAAGCTATTATGGATAAGACACCCCCAAGCACTTACAAGGATGGCATTATTCTTCAATTATTATGAAAGATGGATATTAAAATTAGATACATCTTTTGTATAGCCACGTAGGCGAGGATGCTACCACATAGGCCATAAAAGTGCTCGCCAACATCTCTTCTTTACAATTTTACAGAAATCAAAATGAGAACACAGACTGTAGCATCATTGAGGAGATGATTATAGGAAATGGTAGGAAAAACACTCAAGAGTTGTGTCTCTTTAATCAAAGAATTCTTCTGTGGTACGAATAATAAAAAGGACATTTGCATGGAGGTGAACTGATGAAGATTGAAAAACAGGAAACTTAGGCATCAGTTTTCATTTAGCACTCAGGAACATCAGTGGCATAGAAGCAGTATATTTGAGAATTATTTTTAAATCAAGGGGATTCTACGTAATTTAAAGAGCCAATTATTTATTAAGTAAATCTATTTTCTTTCTTTTATACAGGCAGGAATAAATCTTAAAGGGTTTCTTCACCCCTGTTTATTAAGCTACAGAATAATGTCCTATTGGCATTATTCTATAAGTCTCCCTTGAAATAAACAATCAAAAAACATTTAACCCCTTAAGGACTGGACTGTTTTTGCGATGTTGTACATTTGCGACCAGGAATATTTTTACACTTTTCTGGTGTTTGTGTTTAGCTGTCTCATTTACTGTTCCCATACAAATTATATATTGTTTTTTTCAGGACAAAAGGGTCTTTCTTTACATACCATTATTTATATAATCTCATGTATTTTAATTAAAAAAAAAAAATGATGAAAAATTGAAAAAAATACATGTTTTTTGACTTTTACTTGAAAAATCTTTTACTCATCTACAAAAACGAATGAAAAAAACAGCTAAATAGATTCAAAATTTTGTCCTGAGTTTAAAAATACCCAGTGTTTACGTGCTTTTTTTTGCAAGTTATAGGGCTATAGGTACAAGTAGGATTTGGCGGTTTCAAAACATACATTTTTAAAATGTATCAATAGTGACATTGTAACACTATTATCTGTCATAAATCTCTGGAAAACACTCCACATGTATATATTTTTTTTAAAGTAGACAACCCAGGGTATTCATCTAAGGATATTTTGACACTTTCTATGCAGCCATTTTACCACAAGTCTTTGCCAAACTTTGCATAGGTAGTTGGTTTTGTTTTTCACATACATTGCAATTCAGGTATAAACTTACAAATCCTGTTACGTCTTGCTGCCAAAAAACACACTAATATATGTTCAGCAATATCTCCCGAGTACAGTGATACCACCCATGCATAGGCTTGTCGGATTGTTTGGGGGCTAAAAGGCCACATTTGGCAGGTGCGCATATCCATTTTTCAACTTGGAATTTTGACATGTAGTCAACCTGCGCACATGTCCTATTTGGGACATTTGTAAGGCCGGCCAATGTATTTTACCCCCACCAAACCATATATTTTTGGAAAGTAGACACCCTAGGGTATTTCAAATGGTGTTTTTTTTTAACACTTTCCATGCACTAATTCTACCACCAGACTTTGTCAAACATTTAGGTAGTCATTTTTTGTGTGTTTTTTTCACACACATTGTACTTTAGGCATGAATTAACAAATCGTGTTATGTGTCACTGCCAAACAACACGCCAATATGTGTTCAGCAACATCTCCTGAGTACAGTGATACCACCCATGCATAGGCTTGTCGGATTGTTTGGGGGCTAAAAGGCCACATTTGGCAGGTGCACATATCCATTTTTAACTTGGAATTTTGACATGTAGTAAACCAGCGCCCCTGTCCTATTTGGGCCAATGTATTTTACCCCCATCAAACCATATATTTTTGAAAAGTAGACAACTCAGGGTATTTTAAATGGTGGTAGTTTAATACTTTCCATGCAATAATTCTACCACCAGTCTTTGGCAAACTTTTGGGTAGTAATTTTTGTTTTTTTACACATACATTGTACTTTAGGCATGAATTAACAGATACTGTTATGTATCACTGCCAAACAACACGCCAATATGTGTTCAGCAACATCTCCTGAGTACAGTGACATCACCCATGCATAGGTTTGCTGTGTTGTTTGGGGGCTAAAAGGCCACAATCAAGACTTGTTCATATCAGTTTTTCAACTTGGTATATAGGTATGCTTGGCCTATCTTCAGTTTGGCATATTTTTGCATCCCCCCATTAATGTTAACATCATGAAAGTTTATATTTTTATAAAGTAGACATTCCAGAGTATTGTATATGAGGTGTTTTCACATCCTTCCCCCAACCATTGTGCTAAACAAATTTCAGAGAACGTGCATGGTGGTAATTTTTTAATTCTGCTTTTTATGCACACGTCATCTGGTTTTGGCCAGCCAGTTATATGTTACTACCATAAAACTTTTTTAACCAAATGTGCAGGTATCAAATGCACCTTTAGCAGCATTCTCTAAACTAACTCCTGCAAAAATAATCTAATTGGAGATTTGGGGGGAAGGAAACTGACTAACTAAAATTTGCTGCTTTCAAAGAAAAAAAAACAGTGCAAAGGGGTGTCTGTCCTTTTCCCTTTTTTATAACAGACCCAGCAACATTTCAGGGGATTTGTTTTTTTTGCAGTTGGCGGTATCTTAAAAATAAAATGTCTGGACTCCTTTGGCACCGTTGTTGGAACTTGACCATCTCCATAAATTATTGTGGAAATCAGCTTGAACTAAAATTGGAGAGAGGTGGTTCTTTCTGGATTCATTTTTTTTTTTAAAGAGTAAAAATTAATTATGTGTTGCTACTTGCATCAGGTAGATAGCAAATTGATGGCTTCTTTATAATCCCCATGAGAATTGTAAGAGCCCAGAATTTTTTAAGTTCAGCGACATCTGTGGGATGCCAAGCACACTCCTCCCTGACTGCATAGCTATCTGGATTGGTATCAATAAATTGGGTAGCATATAAATTAGTCTGGGGAGCAATCTCCTCCCACATGGTATCCCCTAAAAATAGCTCCATATATTGCATAGGGGAGAAGTCATCCACATTGACATTAATGCCTGTGTTGGCACTAAAAGGGGTGATTTGGGGCTCAGCTAACTGTGGAGAAACCTGTTCCTCCTCCACATTCGGCGTAGCAGAGAAAGCACAGCTTCTTTTTGCAGCCGGCTCACACACAGATGACATGTCAGAAAACTGACCTGGGTCAAAATCGGACGCAGTGTCAGTGGCGTCAGAGTCTGACTAACACAGAGTTACTAACACACAATTTTTTTTATTTTATACTAAAAACAGACTAAAACTGATAAAAACAGACTAAATGAGACTAAAACTTCTGTTAGCAGCAATCTGTAAACTAACTCCTGCAAAAAGAATCTAACTGGAGATTTGGGGGAAGGATACTGACTAATAGAAATTTGCTGCTTTCAAAATAAACAAAAAAAATAAATCAGGAACAAGTATTATAAAAATGTATTTTCTGTGTGGTAGACCTTAAAACATGCTCCAATACACAGTCCAGGTTTTGTAGGGCAATCGGGACAGTGAAAAGGGGTGTCTGTCCTTTTCCCTTTTTTATAACAGACCCGGCAACGTTTCTGGGGGTTTCTTTTTTTTGGTGTTGGCGGTATCTTAAAAATAAAATGTCTAGACTCCTCTTGCACTGTCGTTGGAACTTGACCATCTCCATAAATTATTGTGGAAATCAGCTTGAGCTGAAATTGGAGATAGGTGGTTCTTCCTGGATTCATTTTTTAAAAAAGTAAAAATGAATTATGTGTTGCTACTTGCAACAGGTAGATAGCCACCTTTTTATACCAGGCTTTTGTCTTTCTTAAGATAAGATATGGCTGCATCAGCTGATCAGCCAAATCAACACCCCCATGTGCCTGTTATAAGCCCTGATGCACACCGGTTTTGTCTGTACCCTGCCTCGGACAGTGACGTCTGACATGCCTTCGTTATGGATGGTTGTTAGCATGTGAACATCCTTCCTGTCCTTAAATTTTAGCGCAAGCAGTTCAGCTTTGGCTTTGCATTCCCCTTTTTTTAATCTGCCCTCTATGAGAGGTCTGGGGAAATCCTTGGCATTTCTTCTTACAGTGCCGCAGGCCAGTGTCTGTAAACTATAAAGAATTTTAAACAAGTGGACACTGCTGTAAAAATTGTCCACATAAAGGTGGTAACCCTTATTGAACAAGGGGATCAGTAGGTCCCAAACAAGTTTCCCACGTGTCCCCAGAGAGTCAGGACAGCCAGGAGGGTTCAGTTGAGCATCTTTCCCCTCGTATACACGAAAGGCAAATGTGTAGCCACTTTCGCTCTCGCAAAGTTTGTACACTTTAATGCCATACCTAAACCGCTTTGAGGGGATATATTGTTTGAACCCTAATCTCCCTTTGTATTTCATAAGGGATTCATCAATAGATAAAGTTTGTTGGGGAGTATAAACTTCAGAAAATCTGTGCTGAAGATGGTCTACCAGTGGGCGTATTTTATGAAGCCTATCATATTGGGGGTGATCTCTGGGGTGACAGAGCATATTGTCATTGAAATGTAAGTATCTCAGCAGCAGCTCATATCTTGGTCTAGGCATTGTTTGGGAGAATATAGGAGTCGAACAAATTGGGTTGGTGCTCCAGTAAGACCGGATTGATGGCTTTTTTATTATCCCCATGAGCATGGTAAGAGCCCAGAATGTTTTAAGTTCAGGGACATCTGTGGGATGCCAAGCATGCTCCCTGACTGTATAGCTACCTGGATTGGTCTCAATAAATTGGCTAGCGTATAAATTTGTCTGGGAAGCAATCTCCTCCCAGATGGTATCCCCTAAAAATAACTCCATATATTGTATAGGGGAGAAGTCAACCACATTCACATTAATGCCTGCGTTGGCACTAAGAGGGGGGATGTTGGGCTCAGCTAACTGTGGAGGTACCCAGTCCTTGTCCACATTCAGCGTGGCAGGGGAAGCACAGCTTCTTTTAGCAGCTGGCTCACACACAGATGACATGTCACTAGACGTGCCGCTAAACTGACCTCCTCCAAGCTGTACATGCGCTGCATGTTTCACACTAACAGACTAAACTAACAAAATACTAAACACAAATTATTATTTTTTTTTAACACTAAAACAGACTAAAACAGTAATCCCTAAACTAACTCCTGTTAGAAGAATCTAATGGAGATTTGGGGGAAGGAAACTGACTGACTAGGACAGACTACAACAGTCTAAGACAGTCTAAGACAGTCTAAGACACAGATTTTTTAAAATAAAGTTAACCCTTAAGGGAAAAAAAAAAAAATACAGACAGTACAAATGCACTGTCTGTAACAGATCTGGCAGGGAAGGGGTTAAAATGGGATTTTTATTCACTGCAGATACTTTTTAATATTCTCTGGAACAGCTGCTGCAACAAACTATCACGATCTCTGTCTCTCTCCTCTCACAAAACGCTACAGAGGGGAGAGAGGCAGAGATCAGTGTCAAAGCTCACACGCCGTAATTGGCTGTTACTATCTGCCTGGGATGCCAGGCAGATAGTAACAACGGGATTTCGGCGGAAGCGATCTCTGATCGCTCCCGCCGCCAGTTTTCCATTAGGACGGTTCAGGACCGTCCTCGGTCGGCAACACAAAAATGCCGAGGACGGTCCTGAACCGTCATGCGTCGTGAAGGGGTTAAAAGAAGATTTACTTACCTTAATTCGGGTGAAGCTCCCAAGTGCACCACCATCTTTATTTTACTTTTTTTTTTTTTATTCTTTATTTTTGCAGTGCAAAGAAAACACACACATTTATGGATACATATGACAAAGATACTGCACTGTTGTTTTGTTTTTTGATAACATGCAAAGAAGGCACATATAAGAGTTAGAGAAAATAACAACAGACTAGGAACGTTAGGCAAGTAAGATATAAAATGATAAGCAAAGCCAATGTAAATACAGCAGAGTATACCTGGCAACCCTTTATGAGCAAAAAACTATTAGCCAATTTCCCTCTTCTGAGCCAGCAACACTCACACATGTAACCACTCAAAATCACAGGACCTCCAGCCATCCACCATGTGGTTTGCAGCTCTACCACAGATCAGCTTTGTGAAATCAGTGCCCGCTCGGCAAGATAGAAAAGGTAGCACTTCAACTACATCCACTGTCAAGACCTCAGAGTGATTCTTCTCTGTGACCCCACACCGGACATCACTGGAGCTAGAAGGTAAGGACAGATCTGGATGTACAGGTGGACCAGGACTGGGAGATGATCACGATTTAGGTCTCTACGCCTCTGTCATACCAGAGCAACGTTGGATCTTCCCCAGAGACGCTGCTGCAGGGTCACTCCGGCAGGACGGGCAGAATACAGGCTGCGTCCCTTCTGTGTGAAGCAGCTGAGAAAGGCTGTAAAGATCTGCTCTAGTCTGCCGAGCGTGTTGCTAGGGTAAGCATAGAGGATAGAGTAGGCCTCAGACGTTGCCATCTTGTCCGCTACTGGGCCTTCGGCTCTTAGTGGTGCAGGTGCCTGTGGGTGTAGAACTCCCGGGACAGGGATAACCCCCACCGGTCCAAAGGGGAACAAGGGCAGCAGAAGTAACCACCAGACTATGCTCGGTACAGACAAGCGGTCGTCCCTGCCGTACTGAGTCAGCTAGTAGTAGTAGGCCGCCAGGAATGCAGTGTTGTGAGAAGGTAAGATAAGGCTGCAGGAATGGTATCACAGTGGTCACAAGAGGTTCCCAAAACAGGGATGCCTGGAGAAAATGGTTATAAAAACAGGTATATTCAGTAAAATGTTGAGAAAACCAGGTCAGTTGAGAGGAGCTGCAACCATGTGCTTCCTCATAGCATGGCAGCCAAGCCCCGCCCCCGAATGCACCACTGTCTAACGTCACATGAGCCGCACTGAGTAAATATCAAAGGCTTCTCATAGAGGAAGGGAATGAAGCAGAAGGGCGAGCGGGGATTAAAATAAAAATCTGTCGTACATAATGCACAGAATTGACATTTGGCAGCCCGGAACAGAGTGAGCTGGGGGTGCAACTTGCCCTTAGCACACAATTAAAAATATCTCTGGATGTGCAGTGTTTCAAGCAGAAAAACTCCACATCCAGACTCCTACCACCATAACCAATTCAAAAAGCAAAAGCTTGAAAGAATAAATGCTTGTAGGCAAAGCTCCACGTTCACACCCTATTTCATCAGTTTGGAAAGTTAGTCAAATGTATGAGTGCAGGGAAAGGGACCATGCCATACTAACCAATTCAATAAGCTGAAGTGGCTATGGTGCTTAGAGTGTCCATTTAATTCATATTTGTGCATTAAAATATTTTCACCAAAACTGTGTGCAGTAAACATTTTTCTGTACGTTAAAATATACTTTTGCTCTCTGCCCCTTTTTGCGGTTACAGAGTCAGCGTTACTGTTTACTACTACTTGGTACCAATTTAAAAAATTTTATTTTTATTTTTTTAAATCACTGTAAATAAGCTTGATAAGGCTCATTTTTATCTAAGAAAGAAAATGGCAAGCCAAACCTGAAGGACACACCAGAAAAAATAAAAAGCTACCAAATGTTATGCAGCCTTCCAAATTGGTCAACAAGCATTGAGGGTATCCAGAAAAAGACACCCAACGCGTTTAGACTTCTCGCTGGGAAGTGGGTTTATTTGGTAGGTACACGCAGTGTGCACAGCACACGTATGAAGAAGAAAAGAAAATGAAACATTACACACAGATGGACGGCATTCCTAGGGATCAGAGTCAACAAATGCATAAGGTGACATGGTAAATATTCCAAATAGCTCAGAGCAAAGTTATCAAATTAGACCTTGCGCTTAGAATTTGCCATCCTCCATAGACTGCAATGAAGTGGGCTGTCCCTACATGCCACTTTGTAAAGTCGACTTATAGGATCTCCTTACTCTCTTGCATGACAGCTTGACATTATGACTCACAGCACCGGGAGGATGTAATGTCATAAGGATTCTCCTCTTGCTTTCAGTCAAGATGGCAGTGTGTTAGAGAGAGGCTTAAGGTGTGCAAACGTGTCGGGCATGTTTGAAAGGAGGTTACTAAAAGAACGCTACAATCTGGATCTAGCCAATTCTTTTTTAAAATATATGCAAAACGAACAAGTTAAAATGTAATTCTAATTTCAAGCTAGCTAATGATGCGGACATTGTCTGCCTCTGTATGTGAACAGTTTCTTAAAGAAATGCTACGCGCATACAGATAACAGGTACCATGACCACTTCAAAACACCTTAGATGGGCTGAGGGGAGGACTTGGGCTAAAATTGCTGAAAATAGACACCTTTTATGAACAGAATTAATATTACAGAATTCTCCTTCCATGCTTATGACACTGAAGTTTTCTCTCTGTGTGTGGATCGTTTCTTAGTGAAATGCTGCGCATACAGACTCCAAGTACCATAACTACTTCAAGTTACTGAAGTGGTCATGGTGCTTGCAATAACCCTTTAAGCTTTCTATAGCACTGCTGAGATTATCCTATAAGTAACACAGTGATTGTCATCTTTCCTTCTGAAGAAGAAGCTGCATCACAACTTCCAGAAAGTCAAAATTGAAAAAAAAAAAAAAAAAGAAGAAGAATTAGCTTATGGAGCATTATTATTATTGAAGGAACACTCCAAGCACCATAAAGACAACATTTTCTGGCTCTCACTTAGCAGTAGTGGAGCAGGGAGCTGATCCTGGCGTCCGTTCTCAAAACACTTGGACTCTTTACAATTGATGGAGACACCAGGGTACCATAACCATCACAATGTGCTGTAGTGGTTATGGTATTTAGACTGTTACTTTAAAAAGATACAAGAGAATGTATCAGTTAATGTAGATTTTTGTACAAGCATAACCCTTTTCAAACAATTCTTCATGAATTGCATGGTTTATATAAAATAACCAATATAAAGCATTTTCAAAATTTGTTTAAATAAAATAATCTAGGGGGGGCGTGGCCGGACCAAGCATGGAGCTGGACGTGTAGAGCTTCAGCTCCTCGCCCCGTGCTGCTTTCTTAGCGATATTACCGCTGAACACTCCAGTAGCATGGTCCGGAACAAAAAGCTGTCATTTCTGAGCGTACCGGCAGCAAGCTCCCCACGCAAGCAGAAGGGCATGCTGGACGAATTTATGTCTTCGCAGCCCGAGCCCCGGACCGCCCGTGCTGCAGACAAGATGGCGCCGGGCTCCCTGAGCACGGGAAGTGCAGGGACCAGCGCGGAGGGGGAGAACAGGGCGGACGCACTTACTTTAATCTGCCAGGAACTGGCTGCAATCTCGGACCCCATGCTGTCCAAGGCTTACACCGGGGGCCTCAGACAGGAGCTCAGAGCGGCAGTGAGGGAGGAGCTGGCGGCCTTGCGCGCTGATCTGACCACGGTGGAGGTACGTGTGGATGCCCTAGAAACTGAAGCGCAGGCCTGCTAAACGCAGCACAGAGCCGCAGAGCTGGCCACCACACGCCAGGGCAACCTCCTCCTCACGCTACGCCGCCAGGTAGAAGACCTAGAAAATCGCAGCCGCAACATCCGAATCCGGGGCCTACCGGAGCCGGACTCCGCACCGCTCGCGGACACTGTCTGGGCTCTCTTTGCGTAGATTCTGGGCAGGGAGTCCTCCGCGGACATACAACTAGATAGGTCGCCGGCCCCTTACCAGTCACAATGGGAGCAGGCGACGGGGAAGGACCTGTCAGATGCCGATTGGGAGAAGATTCATACTCTGGCACATCTGGGAATTGTTGACACCAAACTTAGGGAGCTTAACTACAAGCTCCTGACTGGATGGTACAGGACACCCGCTAGACAACACCAAATGGGCCTCACGCCAATAGCCCAGTGCTGGAGATGTGGGTCGGCAGAAGGCACGGACTTGCACATATGGTGGACCTGTCCGCCTATTGCCACCTTCTGGCGACAAATTCATGGGAAGCTGAGGGAAGTCTTGGATTCGGAGACACCACTGCTACCCCTCCCGATGCTGCTCCATCACACTGACATGCCGATTGGCAGATACAAAAAATCCTTAACGAAGCACTTCCTGAATGCAGCCAAAAGTCTAATTCCTAATAAATAGAAAACTCAATTAGTGCCAACGATCTCGGAATGGGAGGATAAGACAGAAGACATCTTTGTTATGGAAAGCCTTACGGCAGACTTACATGGCACTGGAGAGCAGTGCTCCCAACTATGGGGCCCCTGGATTACCTACAGAGCACACCGACCCTCGGGCGCCGACCTGACTAATGCATGCCCTGAGTCGCAGGCCGCGGGCCGAGCCCCGGAGAATGGTGGTGGGTCCTCCTGCCCTTGACCGAGCCGCGACGCTCCTCACCTCGTCACCCCATTCTGTCCCCCTCCACTTCCCTCTCCTTCCCTCTTCTCCCTCAAGCCCTTCCCTGCCCCTCGGAGCCTCTCACATGAACGGGCGAGGCCCGGCGGGGGTGCCACGGGCCATGAGGCGGCCAATTCGGCCTGTACCAGACGATCACCTGTGGACGGACTTTACCTAGCTTAGAACTGCGACACAAGACTGACGGACTTCCCTGCCCGCCACAGTCTCCGTCAGGCAAACATGGGAACCACCTTCATCCCTTTAGACCCGTCCCCACATAGTAGAACAGACCGCGGGGGGGCACTTCACCGACACGACCAGTGGATGACGGGAAGTGACTGGTTGGGGACTATATTGGGATACATGACGGGCCCCCCAGTGTTCCAGTAGGGTTGTTATGACACAGTATATACTCCCTGACAAGTAAAGACTAAGAGATTAGAGTTAAGGGCAGCGATCACCCCCGACTAATACTTCAAGGGAGGGAGACTAGAAAGTAGCAAATAGGCTGAGTTCGGGCAGGATAAAAACCGGAGCCATCATGTTGCCTCCACTACCCTGGGCCACATAAGCGACACCTCCGCGGGTTTTAGCGCAAGACCAGCCGTGCTCTGATACCGGCTACCAGTGTAACGTACGCATTTCTCTTGATAATAGTGGACTAACTGGCCTAAACGCGCATTCCTGCCGCCCGCTAGTAGCCATAGGGTCTCCCTGCTTAATGTAATGCAATGCAATGTACAACTGTTGTTGGCGTACCACGGCATGATCTTCCCAGTGTACTGCTGTGCTGAACTCTTGTATACTACCCTGTCTACTACCTTGTATGTATTCGTTAAAACGAAAATAAAGATTGTCAAAAAAAATAATAATAATAATCTAGCACAAACCTGTGTTTAACCCCTTAAGGACCAAACTTCTGGAATAAAGGGGAATCATGACATGTCACGTGTCATTAAGGGGTTAAGCTAACCACATCTGTTTAGGGTCAGGAATTCAAAGTATAAAGGCACATAAAATGCTTTCAAATACTACACACAAGACAGATTGTCTGAAACAAAAAAAAAAAAATTTGATCAGTATTGACTTTTTTTTTTTTTTTTATAATTATTTTTGTTGTGCAGACGATTAAAGGGAAGCTTGCTATGCCACAACAGCTAAAATAAGCACCATATGTTCAAACATAGTAAAATACAAGCATGGCATTGAGACAGTAGCACAATTTTAAAAGTAAGATAAATGTTAGAGAGATGCTAGAGAGATACTTTGAGTGGTAGAGGGTAAGAACAAATGCAGAATGGTACCTATGCACAGGAAAATCAAACTGAAGCTTGTATATGGTTAGTACCAGCTTATGCCCACTCACAGAAAAATATAAAAATAAAAGATAAAGAAACATGAGAGACATCTAAAAATATCATGCACATATGATTTCACTGTAGCATATATTAGACATGAGTTAAGTTGTAGCTAGTTTCCTGGGGGGGGGGGGGACACATGAAAAAGCATTATTTGGTATAGATGATATTAAGAGCATATAGTAAGAGTGGTCCCTGAACCAAAAACAAGGTTAAGCCATTGGATAGAGTATTAGAGCAATAATATGTGCTGTGCAAGAATAAAAGGAGTAAAGAACGAAAAAAAAAAAAATATAGATAAAAAAAAAAAAAAAAAAGAAAAAATTGCAAAGTATGCTTTTCAACAGAGAGAAGCCATTGGGACCTACATCCGGTGGAGTGACTTCAACCACCCAGACCACGGCCTAGTGCCCTAAAGAGAGTCCATGCAGTCAGCCCAAACCCTTGACTGGTTCAGCAGGGTCCCACAGAGTAGACTGAGGTCTAAGTGCCTCAAGCTCGCATACACCCAAAGGCCATCCTGACTCTTCACACAAGGCTTCCCCAACTGAGCTGTCTGCACAAGGAGAGTCCTGAATCCATGCTTTGCGCCGTTTGACCCGGTGAGGTCGCCGACCCGACCTCCCATGCAGCACCTTCATCTCGTGGTCGCTAGGGTATGCCAGCGGGTATCCCCTCATGTGGCTCTGTGTAATCTTTCGGCCAACTTGGCGCAGAAAGCCTCAAAGATGTGATCTAGCTCTGACATGCTGTGGTGTAGTGGGCCCGGTTGACATGAGGCGGCCGCCATCTTAGGTGGGACTATGCACCCTTTATTCGTGCTTCCAACTCTTGCTGCAGCAGGTCCCAAGGTAGATGTGTGCTGGGATATCCCTCACCGGCAGGGGGGAGGAATAATGGGGCACAACCGCCGAGATTCTGCTTCCAGGTAGGTCGGAGACCGAGAGATCAGCCGTTTCTCAACTCCTCCACCCCTGGAAAGGCCGTAGATAGGTCGCTCGAGCTTCCATTGCTAGTATTGGGGTATGCTGCTCTCATGAGGGACAAGAATCTTGCGGTGTTGTCACGCTTAGAAATCAGGAGTTTAGAGTCCATAGAGTAGATAAGCTACATGATGCTGCACGGAGCTCAGACAATGTGCGACCACTCAACATGGCAGTCAGGACAGTATTGACTGTTCTTTTAAAGAAAATGACTATAGATTTCATGACATTACTTTTGTTTTTTTTTAAAAAAGTTATTGGTTAAAAAGGTATGATGTCATATGCAAATTAAAATCTGTAGTTTTTAAAAAACTCTATGTCAGAGATTTTATTCAACTCTGATTAAAATCTGCCAAAGAGATGAACAAGTCATCTTCAAGAGGTACACACTATTTACTAAAATGGTAATTTGAGGTGAATTCTAAGTGAATTTCAAATTAAGGTCAAAAAAGTCAAAACTGGAAAATCTAAGCTATCTGTTAAAGTGATATATTATGTTATACAAGTATTGAAAGTATCACTCTAAACAGCTGAATGGTGGGTTACAGAGCTGCTAGAAGATTTTTTTTGTAAACAACTTTCGTTTTAAAAATGAGTATGATATGAAAATTAAATACTTTGAAGTATTTTCTCCCCAAATGTTTGCTGCTACTTCCAAAAAAAATAATTCACAGGTTTCAGCTGTCAATAACCTGTCACTGCAGCAGCAGACTAAGGGGGATTTATTTTAATCCAAACTATTTCAGGTTACCACCTACACCATCTCCCTTGGCTGTTCACTTTAATATAATGGAAATCTTGCATTACCAGAACTTATATATTTATTTTGATTAATGTTACATCTTACTTTGCATATATTTATTATCTAGCATGACTACATTGTAACATTTGGATTGATATTGTTTCCCCTGATTTATTTAAAATTTTCTTTATATTTGAAATAGTGTTTACTTATGATTTAAATTTGTTAAAGTAAAAAAAAGTAAATAAATGAAAATGATTGGAAAAATAATAAATAAAACGTGCATCACAGTGAAGTGTTTTACAACTATGAATTGTCCCCTAGGATGAATAACATGTCTCTAGCAGAGAGATCACTAGATGATTTGACATCTTACATTATGAGCTGATGAACTACTTGGTTTATGACGTTTATGCCATGACTGTGACGTCACGTTGTTTATAACTCCAAATCAACCCTTTCTACTCCACACCCTCCATGTAGCAGCAGTCTGAACCAAAGAAAGTCATGCCATTAGCTTACAATAGTCTCTAAGCAGTTACTTAAAGTATTTTAAGGGTCTCTCGGGTGATTACCTGTGTTGGAAGGTGACAGCAAACCTGGTTTTTAACACCGTCTAATCAGGAATCCGTGAATCCCCGGGCTTCACCGGTAAGAGATACAGCGGGCGGCACACAGGGCATTTTGCCGGTGGGTACAGGTTAAAATGTGACTTTGGGAACTTCCGTGTTCGTGACGTCATTACGCCGAGAACGTGTCTGCGTCACAGATGACGAGCTAGAACCAGGAAGCTGGTAGTGTTCTAAAATCTGTATGACTGTCAGGAACGTGGTTTGTTTGAATGACATTCTATAATCATAATGTTTGTGTGGAATATTGGGGTATAGGGGGAACTGGCTTTATTGTGATATGGATGTTTAACCATGAAAGCTTGCACCTATTGATAGTATTTATTCTGCATGTGTGGAGTACTTCCGTTTATATTGAGAGGTAGGTTGTTATTAATAAAACCGAAATATTAATCATGAATTAATACTAATTAAAATTATTAAAGGACCACTATAGGCACCCAGACCACTTCAGCTCAATTAAGTGGTCTGGGTGCCAGGTCCCTCTAGTGTTAACCCTGCCTGCTGTAATATGTTTCACTGAGGGTTAATCCAGCGCTTCTGTGATTCTCAT